ACAACTTGGGTTGAACTAACCCATTTGCTATCAGAGATGAGAAAGAGTATCCTTGCATCTAAGAGCTTGAGTACTTTCGTTCTCATAACTTCCTTCATGTGAGGGTTCAGTATTCGCTGCATTTGATGAGAAAGTTCTGAATCCTCTTTAAGGTATATAGCACGATTGCAGATTAACGGGCTTGTACCTTTCAAGTCAACAATGGTCCACCCAATGGTGTTTTCATGAATTTTAAGAACTTCAATCAGTTTAGACTCTTGCAAGTCTGTGAGGTTAGATGAAATTACCATTAAGTATGACTCATCCTCTCCTAAAAATACGTATTTGAGGTCAGATGGGAGAGGTTTCAAATTAGGCTTTGGTGGCCTGTCACTTGATGAGAGTGGCTTTGTGCCACTTGGTGAAAGTTCCTCTAATTTGGATGTCCATGTCTCAATAACATGAGTGAGACAATTCTTTGGATCATAATATGTTGTCTCAGATGTGAGATTCTGACAAAGATGATTTAGTATGACTCTCACAGAATATGTCATTCAGATGTTCCTGTATCAGAGATTCAATGGAGTTTATTTCTCCCATTTCCTTGTCCACTCCAAGGTGCTTGGCAATATTGAGAATATTCAGTTCAGGAGTCATATTCCCAAAGGTTAATTTCATGACTCCATTCTTGCAATTGATTAGTGCATTTGAAGTTGTTAGGAAGGGTTGACCAAGAATGATGGGAATTTGGTTCTTCGAATGCTTTGTTGGCTGAGTATCTAGAACGATGAAGTTAACAGGGAAGACGAAGTTGTCCACTTGGACCAGTATATCTTCAACAATGCCCCTAGGGATTGTGACAGATCTGTCGGCTAATTAGAGTGTGACACAAGTGGGTTTGAGTTCACCCAGACCCAACTGCTGGTAGATAGAGTAGGGTAGCAAATTAACACTAGCCCCGAGGTCTAACAGTGCTTGTTTAATTTTGAAGTCTCCAATGACACACAACACAGTCAGACACCCTGGATCTTTGTATTTTGGAGGGGTTCTGTGTTGAAGCAAGGCACTGGCTTGTTCTGTCAAGAAGGCTCTTTTGTAGACATTCTGGCTTCTCTTGACTATGCACAACTCTTTCAGAAAGTTGACATAAGATGGAACTTGTTTGATTGCATCCAGAAGTGAGATGTTGATTTTCACTTGCTTAAAAAGCTCGTAAATTTTAAGCTGATTATTCAACTTCTGTATGGTTTTGAGTCTATGAGAAAAAGGAGCAGGAATGGAACACAATGGTTCTCCTTCCTGTGAAAGCTCTGGCTCTGGTTCTGGTTCAATTATAGGCTCAGGTTCTTCCTCAATTACAAGTTCAGGCTCAATTGGTTCAAGCTCAACTAGTGAGTTAACTGGGATTAACCCAGGTTTTGGCTTGAGAATTAACATGTTTCTAATGGTCTTGTCAATCACCTTGCCACTTCTTAGTGTAGTGACAACTTGGGCTTGGTCTTGTGGGTTTTCCATGATTGAAGGGATTCGCACCTAGAATTGGTCTTGTGGTGGTTTTGTTTGGGTAGGAAACTTGCCCTTCTCATGTGTGGTCAGGGATTGGGTCAACTTTTGAATGTGGCTTTTAAGATCCTCAAAAGATTGAGTAAATTGGGTTTTGAAATCAGTAAAAGCTTGAGTGAAACTATTGTTATAGTTCATTTGACTTTGCATCAACTGATTCAAAGTATCCTCAAATCTCTTCTTTTGTGGTGGTTGGTATGGTTGATACGCAGGAGGTCCTTGAGGTGGTGGGTGTGAACCTTGTTGTTAATTCATGGGAGTTGGTTGTGTGTTTCTCCAACTGAAGTTCGGATGGTTCCGCCACCCTAGATTGTATGTTTCAGAGTACAGGTTGGAATAAGGCTTGTTGAAGTTAGAAATGACATTTGCTTGTTCCAACAAAACCTCCTTGAATGTTATAATGATTGGACACTCCCCAGTAGGGTGTCCTTTTAGTGCAAAAATCCCACACACTTGTTCTGTGGGAGGGCTAACATCAACTTGATGAACCTTTTTCATCTCTAAAGCTTCAAGTTTTCGAGACAGGGTGGACATTTTTGCTCTTAGGTTATCATCACCTTTCAAGACATACTTATTCCCTTGGGAAGTAGATGGTTTGACTTCAACTATGGTATGGGAGGCTGAATCTCACATCTGAGAACTTTAAGATATGGTGTCAAAAAAATTGAATGCCTCCTCTGGACCTTTACTCATAAATTCTCCTTGAGCCATCATTTCAAAAAACTGACGTACTCTAGTAGCCAATGAGTCATAGAAAAATCCTACCAAAGTCCAATTCTCAAAAACATGGTGCGGACAGAATTGGAGCAAATCCTTGAATCTCTTTTAACTTTAGTAAAATGTTTCTCCTTCTTTAACCGAAAAATTCATGATTAGCCTTTTTAGTGCATTAGTGCAATATAGAGGAAAAAAAATTTTGAAAAATTTATTTTGTACTGCCCGCCAATCAGGTATTGAAAGAGCTTTTAAAGAATTTAGCCATTGGTTAGCTTTATCTTTTAGAGAAAATAAAAAAGTTTCATTTTGGCTAGCTTAGAATTGTCTTGAAAGGTTCCACATACTTCCTCAAATTCTTTTATATGCAGATATGAGTTTTCTGTTTCGAGTCCATGGAATTGAGGGAGTAGTTAAATTATCCCCGTCTTTATAGTAAAGAGGGGTGCATTTTCAGGAAAGATAAAACAAGAGGGGACACTATTTCTTATGGGATTTGAGTAATCCCGCAGAGTTTAAATGTTAGGCACTTCCTCCTCTCTCACAGGAATTTCTCCTCATCTCTCATCATTTGTCATTCTACTTTCACAAAAATCTACTACTAATCTAGGTGAAGGTGGTTCCGGTTGATTCACAGATCCAAAAGATTTTGTCGGCAAATTTTGATAGTGAGGAGCGTCCTCAGACATAAAATTAAAACAAATTTATATACAGCAAAACAAGTATCTATACAAAAAGAGAGGTATTTTTACCTTTTACCTTAAAACACCTTTTATGGTTCTCCAACAACGGCACCAAAAACTTGACTTGATCCCAAATGTGTACACTCAAGTGCAGGCGGTCAAGCTTTAGTAATAATTTGGTTAAGTCCGGAGTCGAATCCACAAGAAACTATGATTAGTGTTTTTGAAGTAAGCAGTGATAGAGACCAAGTAACTGGAAATATTGAGAGTTTGAAGTTATGGAATTTTTTAGAAAAAATATATGATTCTTTCCAATGGATTTTTCTAGACAAAATATAAGATAAATTATCAAAATGTAATAGCCACCATTTAGCTCGAGGATCAGAGCATGTAGTTAATCATCCGATTTATTATACTTGTGCTTTATAACTCAATTAACTCCTGTGTCAATAACAAGTTAATTGAAAGATAAAGATAGACTGTGTGAATGAAGTATATAGTTTCGATGTCTTTCTAGAAGTTTACAAGAATTGTCTGTAATGAGACTCAACCCGTTTACAAACAAGCAAGTGTTTTTACAAGGTATTCAACCATGTTGTTAATGTTTCATTCTTTAAACAAAGTACAATAATGGTGAAGATTGTAATATTGTCATGAAGATATAGCTAGGATACTTGCCTTGAACCAACGGGTTCTTTCTATGCAAGAGTCATTCGTGTCATAGAAAGAACCTATAGTTATACAAAGTACCTTAGCTTTGCTAGATGCATTCAATAAGTGAAATATAAAGTATTAAAGCATAAAAAAAATGCACAAATATAACTTTTAGATAATCAATACATGTTCATCACCTCTTACTAAAGAGTGAATGAGGAACTACTCACTCTTCATGGCTTGGATAAAGCTAGAAAAGTAAGTGATACTCATCCCTAAAAGTAGAGGAGTTACAAAATGAAAACACAATAAATAAGGAGCCAATCTTCAATGAAGAATGAGTGAATCACATTCCACCCTTTCACGGCTTTGGTAAAGCTCTAGAAGAGTGGAAGAGTTTCACTCCTCTAAGAAAGAAGGAAACTCAAGCTATGGAAGTGAAAGACATAAACAATAAAAGTCGAAGAAAGATAGTCACATTTGGAGGGTGGCTTCCTCAACCAAGAAATGGAGGGTTGTTTCCTCAACCAAATGATGAACTATCACCCTTGATACAAGCAAATGTATCTCTAGCTACATGAGTGGGAGTCTAAGCCTCCATCAAACTCCCTATCTATCCAAGTCTCCATGAAGCTCCCACAATGGGAGTATTTATAGGGGAGGAGGAGGAGGGGGGTGGTGAAAGAATAGTGTATGACATCCAAGTCTAAGTGAAAGCCAACCACTCTGCAATCTGTTTGTGGAGAACGTTCAAATGTGAGTTGACGCTCGAATGTGGTTTCTGTTTTTGCTTTATGGGCATTTGAACGTTGTATGGCATTTGAACGTTTCTTCTGTTTTTGCTTTATGGGCGTTCAAACGCTAGATGGGGTTTGACTTTCTCACTCAAGTGGCTTATGGTCTTCTGTGGAAACCTATTTCCACATTCTATGCAGAAAACTTGGCACCTTGCACTCATCACCCTAGTGTTCAATCAATTCAAGTGGACGTTCAAATGTGAGTTGGCATTTGAATGTGGTACTCACATACTTCAAGGTCTTCCTTCTTGGCTGCAACACACCATGTCTCAACAATTTGATAGTTTTGTAGTTCTAGTGGACGTTCGAACGTGAGTTGGCATTCGAACGTTCTTGCTTTGTTCCAAATTTCTCCAATTTTGTCCCCAATTTGCTAGTGTTATATCCAAGTGTGATTTTTGTTGTTTTTGAGCTATTGTTCACGTTAGATCCTGGAATGTCATCACTTAAACTCCATCAAAGTACAATTAGTTTTAAAAAGACATAGTAATATGCTAAATTTAAGTACTAATCACATCCCATCCCTTCTTACATGAATTGTCTCCACTACAACCTTCTCGGCTTTCTCAAATCCTTTAGCATAAGCCATATTCTTGGTCTCCCAGAGGGATCATTGTAAGGTTGCAAAGTAAGATTTGAGAAAGGCATAGAGATCCTTAAAGTGAGAAGCCACATCACGAGCTGCCTTAGATTTTTCAGCGCATGCCACGTTTCTCCCAAGGTCTTTATTCAGTTTATTAAGGTTGGCAACCTCAACTTGAAGCCTGATATTCTCCTCTACAGCCTTCTTAGACTCAACCTCTAGACTTTTGCATTTATCTAAAGCCTAGGAACTCAAAGCTATAATGTTATTACCTCTATGCACTTCTTTACGGGCAGTACGATCAAATACTCATTCAAGTGAGGGATATAGAGTTCAAATAAGACACTATGAAAAAAGAAAGTAAGTAGTTAGAATACAATGAAGGATTTACCAAGACCAACAGCTGAAGGGCACTTCGAGCCAAGGAATCATCGTCCAAGTCTTTAGAAATATGAAGATTAGATAGAAGAATTATTGCCCTTGCCAAACCAACTGCAACATCCATCTAATCAAATACATAATCATTTGGAATGATGTCTCGCCCATTAGCCTTGAGAAGAGGTTTCCAAGAGGGGAGTCCCTTAGGATCTTCTATCAATGGACTCTTTCTTTTCCCATCCCACGTTTACAAGGACTCTTTGAGAAAGGCGAAGTGGATGCTAATTTTGCCCAAGTAGCTATTCTCTTAGCAAGTTGAAGGGAAGTTGCAAATGGCACAATAATGAATGAGTGACAGGTGGGCTTTTAACCAAGCAGAACATGAGCTGCTCGGCACTACTGATCCCAAGCACCAAACTCCCAAAGCATTTTAATATTTGAGACTTTCCCCTTAATCGTTTCACCTAAAATAATTATTTTATTCGAAATAGGTGAAAGAAGGAAAAAAGGGGGGAAAATAATAAATTCTACCTCACCTTCTTCAAATGGACAGTTATAGCGAGGTTGTTTGCCTGCTCGATGTTCCCAATTGCCCGAAACAAAGAAAACATCATTTTCATGTCCTTTGTTCAAATCTGGAAGGTGGGTCACATGATAGCGATTCGTTTTCCTAACTCTAAAATAGTAGTTCTTATCAGTAGTACTAGTATCAATATAGTAGTAAAGGATCTCCCAAAGCCCTAAGTTAACCCCTAAGAGATTGTTCAAAGTTGCCCTAAAAAAATTAGGACAACACTAAAGGGGGCATAGTTTCAATGCATGAAGAACCCACAGAAGTAATAGGTGGAGAGGGAACTTAAATCCACCCTCAGTAACGGCTCAGGTAAGGAAGAGGATTCACTCCCTAGACCCTATGAGTAATTTGTCCTCATCAACATCATCAGGTATGGCGTATATGGACCTAAACCTAGGAATATTGCTTGCTTCTGACTTACCCAGGAGAGGAAATGAAGAAAAGAAGGACTTACAAAAATATTTAGAGAAACAGGCCTTCAAAAGCAACAATGGTGAGATATGGAGGAAGAAGATGGAATTGTATTTTATGCAGGAAAAAAGGAAGAAGAAATGGTGCCTAGAGCTTCAAAAGACGTGTCATTAATGTTGATGACTGTTTATGACAATGAAAAGGCCCAAGTACCTTCTTTTTTAGTTACCAATTATGAGAAAATATTAATGAAAGAAATGATAGCATAATAAAGAATGACCCCATGTGCCATGTGAAAAGACATTCTATGGGGACAAATGACAGAACTTATAGCTTTAAATTGTTGAAGGGACTGCCTGGCAGAAGCATGTGTTAATTATGCATGGATGGTTTGTAAATTGAGAATAGGATCTGGTGACTAAGCCAGTGTTGCCGAGCACAGGAGGAAAGGCTGAAGAAAAGCTTATTATTAGAATAAAGACCTATCAATTAGTCGATTTAATGGTCTATAACATTATCCTTCTGGAATGAATCTCTGCTAGAAAAATTGTACGATTGAGCCATACCACTAAATAAGGAGTAGCGGAAAGGAAAATTGTAAGACCCAGATTTATATTTAAAGGAAATTGGGAATTTAAAAGGAAGTATTGTATACATATTTGGGCGATAATTTAATTCATTAGAATAAAGGGGTAATGAAGTGTAGTTTTACTTAATAATAAGAAGGAAATAAAGGAGTTGTCTGAAAGTGAAGATCAAAAAAAAAAAAAAACGGAAGGTGGAAGAAGAAAAAGGAAGAACGCAGAAGAAGAAAAAAGAAAAGGAAAATGTGAGTTTTAACTTGAATCCAACAGTGAAATTGACTCTACTTTCTATAAAATTATAGTATGTTATTTGTAAAGACTTGTACATCATATCTACCGGTTTAATTTCTTCCAATGAAGTCATTTTTGTGTATTTACTATTTTTCCCAGTTTATAGCTTTCGGGTAGGAAAGTTGCTCTAGATTTGCAGAAAAACTATCATTTGGTTAATAAGGTATGATGTTTTTATAGGGAGTGTTTCAAATTAGCAATTTTAATAGTTGATATGAAGGAAATTAGCTTGGATCTAGTTGTTTCATGTGATTCTTAAATTATTTGAAGGAGATATGTACTATACATGAGTTGTGTTGTTGGATAGAAAGTTTGATGTGTGTAAAATTAGTCAATTAAAAATAATAATTATGGGGTTTTGTTCATTATTTATGGAAGCCTAGTGAATATGTGATGTTATGTAGGGAGTATGAAATAAATTAGATTAGTTTGAGTCAAAGAAAACAAGATATTAAAAATTCGGATTTGGGGTTATATGTGACAGCTTTGACACCCTGTAATAAAACAGGCATAACTTTTTGTAGAAAACTCGGATTGATGCACTGCCAATTTTGTTGGAAAATAGACTCAGAAAAATTCGCAACGGTATATGGTAGGACATCAGATTATGTCCATAGAAATACAGTTTTTTTGTTCGAATGTGAGTAAAAATTGAAAATTTATTTATAAATGGCAGATTTGATTTTTGAGGGAAAAATAATGTTAATGCTTTACTCAACATGTTGTTTAGAGCTCATAACTTATGATTAGAAAGTTTAGGAAGTGCACTTTATAATCAAGTTGGTTTTGTACCAATTTAGTAAGTTTAAAATCTTATTTTTGGTAAAACCGCTCAATAGGTTTGCTTGTTACCTAAATGCATCCTAAGTGTTTGAGAAAATGTTTAAGTGAATGGAATGAGTGAAAATGTTACTAAAGTGACTTGATTTAACTGGTGTGGAATGGGATATAAGAGAAAAGGGTAAGAAGTAAGTAAAATTGGTGCAAACCATTTATCTACCCATAAATTTGCTTAGTCATCAATTAGGATGACAGCACCGATTAGTCGACCATTCTATCCATTGCGTGACCATTTCGAAGTAATCATTTAACTAATTATTCTATTATAGAATTGAGTTTCCTTTTGTTGTTCTACATTCAAACATTCTATAATACTAGTTTTGACTGTTTACACAATCTTTGGGGCATGTAAAATGATGATTGCGGAATGGGATAATTCGTAATATATCCCAAAATGTATTTTTTTTTTGTTTTGAAATACTAAGTTGTCATGAGTACGAAACACCATGAAACATACTCATTTGCATCAATGGAGTTATTTTAAGAGTTGATACTTACTCACAGAGTCGAGATGAGAGGTTAAGGAAACTGGTTGTGTATATACTTTATAGGAGTGTTTGTTTCTTTATTGATGTAAGGGATGAGTTACCAAATGGTTTGTGTTGTATTGAATTACAGAGTTGTGCACTCTGTCATAGAGTTGTATGATTTATCTCTTTTATGAAACCATTGTTTGGTATTATTGGTCTTAAATGTTGCCTTACATTACAAGCGTAGGTATTACCATGTGCTAAGTTATACTTCTGTCTTTGGGATACCAAATAGGTCTCTCAGGATGGGGTGTGACAATAACCATGATTAAAAGATAAACATGTGACCAAAATATGCATTCAAGGAAGATAGAAGGAATCTGAACATAAATCAAAAGGAAGCCAACTAGAAGATAAAGGTGACACCTATAATGAAGGGACACGAAAGCACTAGCGTCAAAGGCATTACAAAACACTGTAAAGAGAGGTAAAAAAAAACAAGTTGAAGGTATGCACAATCAACTCAGCCAATCCACTCAGGATACTCGCACTTATTGTGGAATTTGAGTGCCTCTGACCCGACAAACTACCGGTCTCATGACCGTTTTCGCTTTGTAGGATAATTCCATGCTAATTTTCTAAAGCTAGTTTTTCAAATCTTATATTTATATCATTAAAACCAATTATGTGTTCCAAGTAATATTTTCAGATTGACTAAATTGATTTGAAAATCAATTGAGTTATTAAAGATTGAATACACATAATTATCTAATGAAAATGAAAGATCCACATCCCAAAGCTAGAAGGTCTTTTTTTTTCAATAGTTAGTTCCTTCAAATTTAGTTACAATTATTTTCCAACTAATTCAATCTTTACCAAATCAAACCTATTCTTTCTTTAACTTTACCTTTGAATTCCCTTAATCTTTAAGACACCACACTATAATGAAACAAGTATAATATCATCAAAATATCTATCCTAAGATAAATAAATGATGGTAGAAACTTTGAAGCATTATTGAAAAATTGATCATGAAGTTTGAGTTTTGCACATACTAACTTTCAAGTTAAATTTAGTTCTGGAGGTGTTTAAGCTTGGGAAGGGTTTCTAGGTACGTTTTTAAATGTTTTAAGTCAAAATAAGGCTACCATTGAATCTGGAAGGTAGAGAAACCATGAGAGAATTGATATTGGGTGTATTAGAAGTTTGAAAGTATTCAAAAGTTAAAACACATTTTTAAGAGAATTCAGCTAGGAAGGAATTTTATAGTACCTCAGTATTTGGGTCATACCCCTTTTATTTTAATGTCTGATTGAGCTAATTCTTATGATATTAAAAACTAGACTTCAAGGGCTATAGAAGTTTAATTCTTGAAAATTTCATGAATCGACTTCTAGGTCAAAATTAGGTTGAGAGATTGAGACATGGTATAGAAGATTGGGGTGCATTCAAACACAAATGGTTCTGTTTGAACCCAATTATAAAAAAAAATGAGATACTCAGAGCAAAGTCCGTTTAGAAAAAAGATGCTCTGTCTAAACACAAGCTCTTGCATTCGGACACAAATGCAATTTTCACAGCAATCAGGCCTACGCGAGACTCAACTATTTTTCACCCTAAAAATACCCTAGGGATGTGTTTTAGGTCAGTTTTAGAAGGTTCTAACTGTATGAAGCCAAGTTAAGTTGGGAGAGAAGAAAAAGGGCAAGATCTTGAAGGATTAATGCATAAAAATCACATCAAAGCACTTTAGGATTGATTACACTATACATTAAGATGGAGTTTATTTCTGAAATCTATTCATTAAGGATTATGATTATTATACGTATGGTTTGATTCTTATTCTTACATGTATGATAGATATACAATTATTTGGTATTCGTTTCAGTTAAATGATTTGTTTCTTGGAAAATTACATGATTCATAGAGAAATATTACATGTTCTTGATGAAAAACC